ATCAGGGGTTCCCAACCTTTTTTTACTCTAGAGCACATTCTAAAATATCGGTAGGGTGGCGGGCACCACCTATTTTAAATCGACAAACTCCTTCCATAGGCTTAGCGACCCTTCCCGTCACCCGGGGACAAAACTTTCGATTTGCAACCCCCCCCCCTCAAATTTTCGATGTGCACCCCCCCCCCCACTCAAATTTTCGATTTGCACCCCCCCCCCTCAAACTTTCGATTTGCACCACCCCCTTAAATTTTCGATTTGCACCCCCACCCCCTCTAACTTTCGATTTCCATCCCCTTCAACCTTTCAATAATGTTATGAAAAAAGTTCTGTCTCTGTCGATTAGTGAGAGGCGGGCACATACGAATCGTTCGGCGGGCGCCATGGCGCCCGCGGGCACGGGGTTGGGAACCCCTGCATTAGATGGAAAAAAAAATCAATTTCGTAACTCAAATCAACGAAATTTTTTACAAGCTTTTATTCAACTTGCTTCTTCTCTCGTCATACATCGAAACGGCCGAGCAAAATTTCGAGCACTTCTAACTGACAGATTCGTTTCAAAGTTAGCACGTGGGTCAAGACATGAAGACAATGCAATCTGACATTAAATTTGACTTCATTTGATCCATAATTATTTTTTTAATGAATTAATTAATTTTTGTCCAAATTATTATCAGACTTATCCAACCATTCCGCACTATTATACGCGCGTTATCATGTTCATTAGGTGCTCAATAGTTTTAGTCGTTCATGCTACTCTATTGTAAATTTTAAAAACTTAAAGTACTCAAAAAAATAAAAATAAATAAATAACGTTTTAATGACAAGCTTTTATGTAATATTGCGCTCAAAAATAGAAAATAAATGTAAATAACTATAAAGAACAGCCTGGTTCTCTTCCTAAGTATTAGTAAAGGTCTGCAATAGAAAATAAAGTGACCCACACTTTTTTAGAGTTATTTAAAAAGTGTATTATTATATATTGAAATAAAATAATTTATTTTCTATTTATGGGCGCATTATTGCATAAAAGCTTGTTATTAAAACGTTTTTTTAAAGAATTTTGTAATTTTTTCTTTCCTTGATTTTATTTTTGTCAAAAAAGGCCACGACTTTAAAATCTTGCTCACACTTCAATGCATGTTACATTGTTACATGTGTTTTCAGAGATGAAAATTATTCTCTGCCTGATTTATATGGACAGTGTAAATCAGACGTGTTCTATAGTAGATAAATAGATGTGTTGAGCTTTAGTGTCTGTGCTATAGAATAAGGTTGGGGCTTTGGTAATACTTGGGTTAGGATTTGGGTTGGATTTTTAAGTAAGTTTAGTTATATAAAATTATACACTGAAAATAAGATGTTCTGTGTGTGGTGTGTGTATGTATGCATGATGTGTGGATGTTGGATTTCTAGTAATCCAAGTAGTTATTCAAATAACTTAGTAACTCATTACTCATATTATTATTGAAAATTTTATTTTCAGATATAAAATTAAGTTTTTTGAGAACATTTACAAATATGTACATGAATAACAAATTACACATCAATTGATAAAACATATTATCATTTTAAATGTAAAACGTGTGCCCTGTTAATGAATAGCTACAAAATGGCCCAAATGGTTACTACTTTCTTAACTTTACTGTAATTATTCCTACTCCGATTCGAATTTTAATTAAAAACCAACTTATTTCTAAAAGTAAATTTTAAAAATCAATACATTTCTAAACGAACATTTTTAAAATCATGAAATTTCTGAAAGTAAATTTAAAAAATCAAGAAATTTCTAAATTTAAAAAATCATGAAATTTTTAAAGCTAAATTTAAAAATCAAGAAATTTCAGAAAGTAAATTTTAAAAATCAAGAAATTTCTAAATTTAAAATTAAAAAATCATGGAATTTCTAAAAGTAAATTAAAAAATCAAGAAATTTCTAAACGTAAATTTTAAATATAAAGAAATTCCTAAATGTAAATTTAACAATCAACATACCCGCATTGCCCCGTTAACCTGTGTTTTTTTTTTAACGTTACAAGCCTAACAATGTAACTCCTTAGTCTAGTTTCGTTACTACAGATTTCAGCATTCTGTACGTTACAAAAGTTGCTCTATCTCTTTCAGATCTCCTATGAGCTCTCGCCGAAAGGATGGAACCATAGAGATTTCTTTTGCGGTTATTTACGGTAAACAGCGGTATTTTACGAGAAATGCGATTGGTAATATATTATTTCGTTTCTTACGGTATTTTTTTTAAAAATTATTTGTTGGTACAAATATTTAAATATGTACAATTTATTTTTGTGGATTTCAATTTTCTATTTCAAAAACGATTTCTTATTCTAAAAGAATGAAAAATAAAAAAAAAAGGGGGGGGGAAGGGGGGAGGTCTTAATGATTGGTCGGCGTCATGTGGGCGGAGACAATACAGTGTTCACATCTGTGACAACTGAAAGTGAAAGAAGGAACTGAATAATTTATATCAATGGTTCTAATATCTTTGTCACAAGGTACCCTATGCAACTATTCCTATCTTTATTTTTTAAAATGACAATACTGCATTTCGATAATAAAATGTAAACATGAAATCAGTGGTTATAATATTTCGCCATGATGAACCCTATTATTTTCTTCAAATTAAAAAAAAACAAAACTTTATGCTTTTAAATTAATTAAACAACTATCAATTTCAACAAAAACAAATTAAAAAATAAAACTCGACGGTTCTTAATTTTTGACTTAATTACCCTATCTTAGTGGGATTTTTTTTTCTCTGAACTTCTAAGACCTCTGCATCAGTCACACCACATTTTATATCGACACTAATGAATGAATTGTTCAGATTATGGTATGAACAATGTGACCACTGGCAATAGCATAGATCATTGTGATAAATAAATATAATAATACATGGAACAATTTTTAAAAAGTCGAGAAAATGTCTAGAATGGAATGGAACATCATGGACATGCACGGTAAATTAAATTTTAAATGTGCTTACATGTAAGTGTCACATAACCCAGATAAGTCAGTGATCAAAATAAATAATTTAATTACATTAATTAAATTAATGCGTGGATTTTATCAGATTTGGCAGAAAAAATAAATAGATGAGCCTATACATCAATGAAGCATGCATGGAAACTGCTTTTAAATAAAAGATGAAAATTTAATATGCTACAATAATTAATTAATTAATTAATTTTAAAATGATATGTTTAGAATACTGTGCAACAAAAACTAATGCACCCTAACATTAAATAGGTTATTTCATACACTTTGATTAAGTTTTGAAAAGTGTATTTAATCTCTTTTATCTGTCATTAAATAGACCATTGTAAGAAAATTAACATTACAACTAGTTGTTAGAGAGAAAAAATCTGGCACACTGTGTTTATATTGTTACAGACAGGCACCAGAAATCTGTTAGAAAACATTTTGTTAGGCAAAAATTAGGCATACTTCATCTGGACTAAAATATCTGGCATAGTTTCTGTACTATAATAAACAGGCATACTAAAAAACATTCAAATATAAGTATTGTTAACAAAAATTAAAATACGCTGATTCATACTTTATTTATTTTAAAAATAACACACCATAACTGGTATACAATCTGGCTTATTTTTAGTGTTTTATGATACAAACAGGCACACGATAGTTCGTTTTAAAAAATCTGGCTCATTTCAATTGTTCGGTGTAACAAACAGGCACACGGTAACTGGGCTCCCTACCCGAGATTACATCAGTGCTTTGTCTGGCCACCTACCCACTTCACGTGGGGAAACTTCTTCTATGGGAAAACCCGATTCATTTTATGGGAAAATCCGATTCATTCTGCGGGAAAATCCGATTCCCTCTGCTGCAAATTTTTTAAAAGGGGATTTCCCCAAAACGACCCAACATAAATCATATTAAAAAATACACTCATACATGTACATGTTTTAAAAAATCATCATTCAAACATGAGTATATAAAGAAAGTAAAAAACATGAACATGTTTTTTTTTACTATATACCCACATTTTCGTGAAACGCCACTAACTCTACTGTCTCTGCCTTACTCTATAGCAGATCAACATATGATGATCCTGTATGGGCTCGAGGGCTATGTACTGTCGTAGTGATGAACGAGGGCAGAAACTGTAGGGGGGTCACTCACGTGGAGGTGGGGTTGGGCTGGTCGGTGAAGTACTTGATCCTGTTGTCCAGGTGCAGACCCCATGCCTCCATCTCCTGATCGATTTGATCGATCTGCTCATGCGTGAACCAGTTGACCCAGTCCCCAACTTCTCCTGTTAGAAGAAAAAAAAATCAAAATTTTACTAGTCACTGTCCCGTAACAGTTTTATATATTTAAGTGTCAAATATCACACAGTTGATGTAGAAAACAGTTAAATAAGTTCGTAAAACTAAGCTGTAGTCTATTTTCTTAATTTTCAGTGATGCAATTTAAAATGAGCTTTTTATTTTTTTTTCTATCCCATTGGCGCCCCCCCCCCCATGGTCTGCGTCTGGGGCAGCCGCCCCACCCGCTCTACATTAGTTCCCTAAGGTACGCCTCTGTCTCTGTCATATCAAGCACTGCATAGAGTAGTAAAATCTAAAGTTATTTTAATTTCTTACATGTTCCCCAAAATAGAACCATTTAAAATTTTTTACCAACGTTTATTTGTTTTCTTCCAAGGTTTTTAACCATGCATTTCTTTTTTTTTATCAACTTTCCTATTGTTTTATGATTTTCCCGAAAAAAATGACGCACCTTTTCTGTAAATCGGGGATTCCCCGTTTTTGCTGAGCGGCAAAGTGAAATCGTCCTTGTGTGATTTCATGTTGTCAAACGTGGTCTCAATATGGACGGCATCGATCAGCTCTGGCGTGTAGTCGACGTCCAAGAAGTCAGCGAGTCTGGACACGGTGGAGTTGAAATCCTGGGGGAGACGTGGTAGAGAGGCAGTTGTTAGGGGCGTGGCTTGTAAGACTTGGGATGAATGAGTTCGAAACTTGTGGGAAATGTAAGCCAAACTAGGGCTGGTAAGCAGGTCACCAACCAGTTCTACGGCTCAATAAAACCTGCATGAGCCACAGAACTGATAAAGACCTACTTACCAGCCCTATATGGGTTTATAGGGAAAGTAAGGTAGGAGGATAGAGTTCAAAACCTAGGTGGGATAGACATTTTTTTAACAGATGTAGGTGGTAAGACACAGACATCGAAGATTCAGAAGGTGGCACATTAGAGGCACACAAAACATGAAACTCTACAGTAAACAGTAGACAACTGTAGTCACCATACATAAGACAGAAAACATAAGTCACCAAACATAAGACAGCTGACATAAGACACCAAAACAAGACAGTAGACATAAGTCACCAAACACAAGACAGTAGAAATAAGTCACCAAACATAAGACAACAGACACAGATAAAACACAAGACAGCAGACAGATAAAACACAAGACAGTCTTCACACAGTTACTCACTCGATGCAGATCTTCATAGAAGACCACGTGAATGTTGTGTTTTCCTGACCTTGCGACCTTCAACCAGGTGTCAGTGTGTTCAAACCACGAGTTGTAGGGCACTAATAAAACAATGGTAGTGTCATAAGATTACTTCATATTTTAGCATACATACATAAAATCTATTTATAATATAGGCCTATATATGTATATATATATATATATATATATATATATATATATATATATATATATATATATATATATATATATATATATATATATATATATATACATAATATGCTAGTTATATGGTCATATGTATAGATGGTAAATTAATAAGTGATTTAGTGTAAAGAGAGAAGTTGCAGTTACTGTAACTTACAGTTGCCGTTGATAAAGAGCGGCACAAAGCCATCCCAATACCCGGAATAGTTCCAGAAATTCAGGTTAGAGATGAATTTAAAGTAGGACACGGCCACGTCGCGTGGGTTGCGCATGCAGACGACGATTTTGGCGCGCTTCCGGTGGAAGTCGAGTGGTATTCTGGGATACGGCAAGTGGGAGCAGATAACTCTCTGTTTTATTTTTTGGAATAAAAAAAATTGTTATTTATTTTGAATTTTTTTTGTGTGTTAACAATTATTTAGTACTAGGCCTATAACAACTATTTTAATGTATATATAAGTATATTATTTTAATATTATTAAAAACAGTGAGTAAAATAATAGTTCTCATCACAACCAGAGAGATGTACTCACGGGTGAGGGCATGCTGTCAAGGACCTCTACGGGCAGGTACTCCAGGTGCTTCATCGTGTCTTTGGTCAGACGGTGGCAGCCGTTGACCAGCATGGAGATGATTTCTGAGAGCCAGTGAGTTCCTGGCATCAAGGAAAGAAAGAATTTTTTTCATACATCTTCGATTTAACAATATTTTATTGGCATTAAATTTTTAAAATAATCAATAAAATTCAATTAATTCGTAAGTTTGAAAAAATAAAATACATTTAAAAAATTAATGATGAATGATTTTTTTTTGTTTTATATATGTATATATAAATATATATATATATATATATATATATATATATATATATATTTATATATGTATATATAAATATATATATATATATATATATATATATATATATATATATATATATATATATATATATATATATATATATATATATATATATATATATATATATATATATATATATATATATATATATATATATATATATATATATATATATATATATATATATATATATATGTGTGTGTGTGTGTGTGTGTGTATATATATATATATAAATAGCTATAAATATAGGTTATATATAGGCTATATATATATATATATATATATATATATATATATATATATATATATATATATATATATATATATATATATATCCCCTATTTATATCACAATGAATGTATATCAGTGTGGATGATGTACCTGATTTGGGGTAGGTGACCAACAGGATGTCATCTGACCTGGCCTTAAAGTTCTGCAGGTTGACGATGTGTTCAGGCTGAACGTTGGGACTGAAGTAGCAGCCAGCGTCCTCCAGCAGACTCAGGCACCCGCCCCTCTCGTCCTCAAAGTGGATGGGCTCCATGGTGGAACTGGGTGAAATAAAGATCAATATAATAGGCTGGTTGGGGTTAGATTCATATAGACTGGATAAGTGTTATCATGGGGAGGTTCATTATACATTATTAGAACCCCTGGTTGTGATTTGAACCATATAGACTGGGTAAATGTTGTCATGGGGAGGTCCATCAAAAAAGATTAGAACCCCTATTTGTAATTAGAATCACATAGACTGGATAAGTGTTAATATAGAGTGTTTTTCTTCGAAAAGATTAGAACCCCTGGTTGTGATTTAAACCATAGAGACTGGATAAGTGTTATAATGGGAAGGTCCATCAAAAATATTAGAACCCCTGGTTGTGAATCAAAGCATTTACGTTGGAAAAGTGTTTTAAAATGCAGTTGTTTTTTCGAAAAGACCAGAGGCCCTGGTTGTGATTAGCATCAAAGATTTGCCGGCTGTGTCAAAGTGACCCGGGAAATAAATAAAAGCGGTCGTTTCATGGACTTAATTTTTTTTATTTTATTCAACCGTGACAGTGGACCAAGGCCTACAAAATTACAGGCCACTTTACAAATACAATCACAGTACCGAAACTAGCAGCCCACCGAAATTTTTTTCATAGTGGCCCATCTGGATACAGTGTTTCTTCTAGACTTTTTTCGGGGGGGGGGGGGGGGCTGTGTCCCCGCATCCCACTCCAACCCTGATTAGAATAAGTTTTAATGAGAAATGAATTAAGATTTAAAATGGAAGTCTTTCAAAAAAGATTAGAACCTCTGTGATCAGAAGATATTTCTATTAGTTTAGTAGGAGCTGGATAAAGAATTAGTATAAAGTGGTCCTTAAAAAACATTAGAACTCCTGGTTCAAATTTTCAGGAAGTGACGCAATAATTTTGAGCTATAAATAGATCGTGTGACCTTTGCGTCTGTGAAGTGAGGTGGAGACAACCTAGACGATTATTTTCATGGAGTTGTCTAGCCTGTTTCTAAAAATAGAACAAGAGAACAACTGTTTCTATGGGGAGAAGAAAAGGAGCATATACCGTGCAGTAGTTGCGTAGGGGGTGAGGGAGGGGTTGAGGTACATGTAGAGTGGGTCGATAATTTATGCAGATCTCAGCATGCAGTATGCACCAGTGCTCAGGTGTGGGAGGAGGGGGGGGGGGGGGGCTAATTTATTCCAGGAGAAGAGGCGTTTGGTGGGGGTACTAGTAGCGGATTGCATTTAAAAAACTCACCCCCCCCCCCCCCCCCCCCCACACCGCTCAGTGTCTATGATAACAATGATGAACATAGGCGTCTAAGGGGAAGCTCATAGTGATTTAATGGTAGCTGAGAGGGGGGAGGAATAATCTTCGCAGATTGAAAGGAAGTTGAGGTTATAATCACAAAGATGTGTGGAAGTGCGCATCTCCCCCCCCCCCCTTGCACACACGCTTATTAATAATAAGCACAAGCAGTACAGTGCTGATCAGTCCCATTGCTTAAAAAAATGTCTTAAGAAGAAGACAGGGCGCCTAGGTCAATATTAACTGTTTGAAACGTATAGTATTACACGTGAGAGAGACAAGTTACTTGGATATAACTGTAAAAATCTATTCACGATAAGTTACGATTCAAACTAGATACAGGACAATTAATCAATCCACCGATCAACCAATCAAACTTTCAATCAATTAACCAACAATCCAATCAATTAATCAATCAACGAACCTTTCAATCAACACACAAGTCAATCAATCTATCAACCTTTTAATCAACCCACCAATCAACCAAATGAATAATTAACAATCGATCAACTAATTACTCAACCAATCAATCACACCAATCAATTAAAACACATCAGGAAGTCTCACACGTCTCAATAACCTATATTTAAACTATCTATTGATTGAAACACAAGCCAACCACAATGTCCCCTTTCTTCTTTTTTTTTTAAATTAAATTTCGTGATACAACCTTCAACAACAAACGACGCTTTGTTCGAGACTGAGACCCTTACTTACAAACAGGAAGTAGAACATTTCAAAGAGCTAAGAACGTCTACACAGGATTAGGTTTATATTTTATGATAAATAGCTTCGTTGTTTTTTTTTTTAATTATATTTTCCTTGGCATGTTATATGATTATGAAGAATTTTTTTTTTTAATAAGGTCATCTTAACCTGGGGAAACCTGTTGTATTCGATGTTGGTTTTTTTGTTGTTGTTGCTGTTGTTGTTGTTGCAAGCTGTGACATAGACAGGCAACAGATCGGTCACGTGATCAGGGCTCCTCTTTGTTTTTTTTTTCTTAAATGTATCTTTCGTGGAACGATCTAAATATAGTTTTAATTGTTTCTTAGAAAATTAATTTCTTGGAACTTTCTTCCTGTGTTTATAAATTACTAGTAATCCTGATTTACAAATAAGACAAAGCCCAAAAGTCAAAAGTCAACTGTAACAGTTATTTATCTATAGTGTACGGTAATACAAGTTTTCAAGGCTAGGGCTCATCTATCTATCTATCTATCTATATATATATATATATATATATATATATATATATATATATATATATATATATATATATATATATATATATATATATATATATATATATATATATATATATATATATATACATAAACATATTTCATAAACATTAAACAGTAAAAGAAAGGCGTACAGACTTAAACCCGAATATGATTATACACCCGATTACAACCCATAACACAGAAATTATACCCCCTTTGTTCTATAACAAAGGTTGCCTCCCATAAAAAGTATCTCCTCCCCCCCCCCCCCTTCCCTCTACCTATAACAAAGCTTATCTCCAATAAAAAAAAAGTTACCCACCCACATACCCCTTTCCTATAACAAAGTTACCTCCCTTAAAATAGTATCTCCCCCCCCCCCCCCCCCCACACACACACACCTATAAGAAAGTTATCTTCCATTGTTACGTGCCCTTAGCCACAGACACCCAAGTCTTCTCAATACGTGACCTAGATAGTTCGGCTGACCTAGATTCAAGTTACTAAAAAAATAAACAACGGAAATGTTAAACAGGGCATTACCAACGTTGTCTGAACATGCTCGAGACACTGGATCTATAAATAGCACAGCCACTTCAAAACACGGATGAACTCATTTCTATAGCAGGGGTGTAAGGTTAAAGAAGTCGAGGTATATTGGTATATTTTTACTAGGCCATTCCCATTCTGCTTAAATAATTGCTAATATAATTACATTCTATGTCGCTTTTTAAGAAAAAAAAATCTAATAAACATAGAAATGTTAAAAATCTAATATAATTTATTACTCTATTAAATATTTGTACAGAGATTTACAAAGAAATATTTAAAACCAGAAACTAATGTTATAAGACTGTTTGTTATGTATTAAAGATATTATTGATTAGGCATTAACTGATATCTTTAAGAAATTATAATTCAATAAAGTTCCCTTTTCGTACCTGACGAAATATTTATGTACAATTATGCAGCCAAAATACATGTATTACTATATATTTTGAATAAAAAAATAACTGAGTAAGAGTTTTAATTAATTTCTTTTAATTAAAAAAAATATTTAAAATTTATTTTCAAGTAATATTAAAGTAGGCCTAGTATTTTTGATGAAATTGCTAGCAGTATATGTAATAATTTTAAGGAATTCTGAAGTAGCATTAAAAAAATAATCTTTCGCTCTATTCACAAAATAGATCAAATGTAAAATTTATGTAACGTTTCAGAGTTTCAGATTGGATTTCTATTAATATTTAAGTTAAATTTTCAACGAAGACTTAATAATATTAAGAATTTTATAATAAATTTGCTTGAAAATTTTTAAATAAAATTTTAAACAATATCGCGAGTGACCTGCTTTTTTAAAAAAAAAGTTCACTCCTGATATCTACGGTCAATATCTAGAACGTTCTAAGTTGAATGGCTATCAAGGCCGACACACTTTGTCGGTGAGCGAGAGATAATTGATTTGCTTCGATTACGTAAACTCGAGGTCACCGTGGGTTATCCTACACACGAGGAGCTAAAAATAGAAATGCGTGTATAGGGTGGGGGTAGTAGTGATGTCGTGTGTTACATAACATTGAGGAGGTGGGGTGGTAGGGGGAGGAGTGTGTTTGTTGAACTGGTTATCTTAGCTTAAAAAAAATGTGCCGACTCATTTCAAGTATTGCACAATACATTTCTTGTTTAAAGTTTATTTTAGAACACCATTAATCAGACGGTGTATCTAGGTATAACATACGTTCAGAATTAAGTTTCTAAAAATAAATTCTAGCTAACGGAATAAGTTTTAATTGGACATTAAAAACTGAAAGAAATACATGTAAAATAACATTAGGGAAAGTAAACGAATATGTAGGTAGTACTCGCAGATGTACTTATTTATTTATTTTCATAAATATTGAAAGATTAGGAAGATTTGGTGTTTATATTTACTGTATTGTATTAATTCTAATACGATAATAGCAGTTCTTTAAAACGTGTTCTAAATTAATAATAATATAATTTCTTTTGTTATGTTAATTCAATTAGGGCTATTTTTATTTACTCGTTCAATTTTTTTAATTGAATAAAATACGGTCTCAAAACGTTCCCATTTGAAATTAAGTTTGAAAAATTGGAAAAATTTTCTTGTGTTACGTAATTTTTTTTTTACGTCGGGAGTCTTTTGAATGAGATTGGGTAATAATAATTAGCATATTGCACACGCCTCCTAAGTGGGCGTGGCTTACAGACACGCATCACCGATGACGTTATTATTAATCTCAATAGACCGCAATTTCTCATTGGCAATTTACGTGAATGAAACGATGGATAACGAAACAATATAGTAAGCTGAATTCTGGAAACACTACTCAATGTGAAGGGATGAGTTGACGTATAGCGAGGCATTGCGCGCAAAGCGAAACTTTCCTGTTGCATAACTATTTTTAAATGTTGTTTTTGAAAATATATTCTATATTACTGCGTAAAAGAAAAAAGAAAATAATTTAAAAAAACAGGCTTGAAATATTTAAAATTAGGCTTAAAATGTTAAAAAAAGCAGGCTTAAATATTTAAAATCAGGCTTCAAATAATATTAAAATATTAAGCTTCAACTATGTGTTAGTTTAAAAAAAAAATTCCTCAGACATCAAACTGAATGTCTACCCCTCCCCGAATATGTGCACCCCCCCCCACCCCCACCCCCCTCTCCCGACCTAACCTGGCCTGACCCCCACCCAAATAGAACCTTCTCTACTATCAAAGCTGACGTTTACTAGGGCGGGTACGGTAATTTCAACATCTCGTCAAAACACAAACGGTAATCAACCGGCCCGAGGTTCTGTGTCCTATATGGAGTTCACTGGGCTACCAACCAACACAAATGGTAGCACCTCTCTGAATACTGGGCTACCACCCAATACAAATGGTAGCAACTCTCTGTTCACTGGGCTACCAACCAACACTAAGGGTAGCACCTCTCTGAATACTGGGCTACCACCCAATACAAATGGTAGCAACTCTCTGTTCACTGGGCTACCAACCAACACTAAGGGTAGCACCTCTCTGAATACTGGGCTACCACCCAATACAAATGGTAGCAACTCTCTGTTCACTGGGCTACCAACCAACACTAAGGGTAGCACCTCTCTGAATACTGGGCTGCCACCCAATACAAATGGTAGCAACTCTCTGTTCACTGGGCTACCAACCAACACTAAGGGTAGCACCTCTCTGAATACTGGGCTGCCACCCAATACAAATGGTAGCAACTCTCTGTTCACTGGGCTACCAACCAACACTAAGGGTAGCACCTCTCTGAATACTGGGCTACCACCCAATACAAATGGTAGCAACTCTCTGTTCACTGGGCTACCAACCAACACTAAGGGTAGCACCTCTCTGAATACTGGGCTACCACCCAATACAAATGGTAGCAACTCTCTGTTCACTGGGCTACCAACCAACACTAAGGGTAGCACCTCTCTGAATACTGGGCTACCACCCAATACAAATGGTAGCTATTCTCTGATCACTGGGCTACCAACCCATACAGGGGTAGCAAGTCTCTGATCACTGGGTTAACAACCAAAACAATAGCAACCACTCTCCGATTACTGTGTTACAACCCCACACAAGGGGCAGCAACTCTCTTATTACTGAGCTACCAACCCATTCAAGGGGCAGCAACTCTCTCATCACTGAGCTACCAACCCATTCAAGGGCAAAAACTGATCACACAAGTAGTTCAAGGGGAGCTAATCACTAATCACACATGTAGTCCAATCACTGATCACTGAGTTATCAACCTAATTAAATTAAATACCTGATCACTTAATGCTAACCCATGAAAGGGGGGGGGGGTGAATAACTCCCACCCCTAAGCCACCAACTAGATCCATATCAACACGACATCAAGAACGATAACCTCTCGTCTATTAACTGTTACCTTGCTGATAAAAAAACAACAACCCAATCTCAAACAATTTTTGCACTAGCAAAATCGTGCTATGATTCGACACAATTTACCAGTAGTGAGAGTAAGAGTTAGTAGGATACGGTTTGATAACAAATGTTTTATCAAGGGAATTCCCCCGTACAAGATAAAAGACATGAAACCAGTGAGAAATAAGATTAAACATTAAGTCACAATAATTTTACTATGTTTCACAGACACAGACACACACATACACATTTAAATAAGTGAAATTTAAAAATTATTTTTTTGGAGTCTTTAAAAAGTAAAAGAAAAATGCAAGTAGCATAAGAATGTATATCGGCAATAAAACGATTTAATTCCCTTTAGCAAAAATAAATAAATATATAAACTAAAAATCAAGATTTGTAACAGTGTGAAATAAGTTTAAAAAATTTAAATGTTAATATTAATTAACTAAGCTTTGCTTCAATGTTTCCAAAAAAATTATTTTAACGAAACAAACTCCAACAGAATAAAAAGAACATTTTGAATGTGGATGTTTAAAGGGTAAGGCTTGCAGTTATAAAATGATACCAGAAAAACAACGCGAAATTTGTTGTTAGCTTTGAAAAATTTCCCCACCGATCAAAGACTAGCGTCGTATTGTACGCGTTGTGAATGACTAGAAATTACAAGGGAGATAAATCCTTTTTATTTTTCTAATGGACAAAACACAGATCACAAATCAGATTAAAAATTAGTATGAAAATATTGGTTTTGTTTTGTTTGATTGTTTTTACAAAAAAAATTGTAACTTTGAATGTCATTTTTGGGTAGTTGTTGAACTAGTAAACAATTCCTGACGTTGTTTGTCAAGGACGAGAGTTGGGGCTAGAATTTTTTTTTACCTTAGGTGCGTGTTTACTAGCGTCTGGTACAAAAGACGCATTAATTTGACTCGTTGATGAGGTATGGGGTGGGATAGTGGGCCGGGTGAGGTAGGGGCTGGGGTAGTGGGACGGGTGAGGTATGGGTGGGGTAGTGGGCCGGGGTGAAATTTGGGTGGGGGCCGGCTGCAGAAAAATTAGGCGGTTTCGAAAATCTACGCTTAATATTCATTAGATAACTGTTGATTTAGTTAATTAATAGTTGCATAAGCACATACTTTTTCTATTATTAATATCAATTAATTTAGAAAGTGTTTATTTCGAGCATTTTCTATTCGTCACAGCCACAGTTAAAAAAAATAAGTATGATATTTTTTTTCGCTAAATTTTTAAAATTAAAAATTTGTCATATTTTATGTCAATGAAGTTAGTCAAGTTTCCTTTCCAGACCAAAAGATCCTTAGGGCAGATGAAGTAGAGCTCACGTGTTTCACGGCCTAAGCTTATAAAACGATCATGTGGTCAACTTTTACATCAAAACTGGGTGGATCCGAACTCGAGACCTTCGAGTTAGCAGTCGAACACTCTATCACCCGACCACGCTATTCGATTACATTTTATGCACACAAAAAAAATCAAAAGTTTAAGCCACGAGAATGAAGATTTGAACCAAGTATTGAAAGGACCGACGGTATCAGTTAGCACGTGTGACCAGCGTGTAGCCGAACTCCCACCCGGGGAGAAGATAGACCACCGACAAGGTCAAACGCACTAGCGACCCGGCCACGATAGTCGCATTCTTTAGGTTGGTACGACTACACGGAAGCAGATGTGTACACGATGTGTACAAATGTTATCTCAGCTACAACACTTGTGGTGTACTCAAGGGCTTAAGCTGCACTCGGCTGAACTCAACAACAACAACACAAAAAACAACACATTTTACTTGTAAAAAAACTTTCTTAAGAATGTCGCGGCATATGAAGGCGCAAGATGTAAAAATAGAATTCTGGGACATGCTTACAGATAATTTTAAATAAAAAGGAATTTTTTTTGAATTTCTCTTGCTTGATTCATTTATTTATTCATCTTGATTGGTTCATTTATTTATTTAAATTTTAAAACATGCAATTTTGTTTCGGAATATTAACATAATTAATTATTAAGAACAGGGGAATCTAATCTAAATTAAAACATTGATGCAGGGGAGACGGGGGGGGGGGGGGGGGGGGGGGGGGGGGAAAGACATGAAGCACACGTCAAGATGTTTTTTGTTTCGATTTTTACCGGTAATTAAAAATAACAATGCAAAATAATAAAAAAAAATTCTATACAGTTCGTCTTTTGGGGGAAATTATTTTAAAGTTCATTTTTTAATGTATTATTTTATTATAGAATATAAAATCAAATAATTTCAGTAAATTATTTAATTGAAAATGTGAAACAAAATTTTATTAATTTATTTTTAGAGTTTTAAAACCTCTTTTTTTTATTCATAAGACAAAATTAAATATCTTTTTTTAAGTTTCAAAAGTAAAATTCGCATTTTAGTTCTTGAGGAAAAATGTTTTTTTTTAATTATTTTTTTCCTGTCACTATTTCTTTACTGTTACCGCTAAGGACTGGAGAGGCTATCGAGAAATTAAAGAGAAAAAAGTGAGTTTAAATACCTGGATTCGTAAGACATAATTGTGATGGTAGGTTGTCGAGCTAGAAGTCGCGAGTTGGTTAGCGTGGATGGTTCGACTGAAATGGTTCAGATACAGGCCGGTACGCAAGTGAATAGCCTTATATACGATTGGTCGTATTCATAAAGGTGTGTGTGTGTGCGTGTGGAGGGTTGGTGATGTGTGTGGATATGTGAAATGTTACCGGGTGGGGGTTGGGTGGGGGGGTGAGGGGACTGGGGGGTGGGGATAAAGTTATGAGTCAGGCCGGTTAATTCGTGGACTTGTTTCTGGACAAGGTTAGGTTTAGTTAAGAAAGAAAAAAAATATCTCGTAGATCTACAATGAGTGGCGAGGGGGTTTTTGATTAAGGCGAAGCGGGGAGGGTAGGGGTTGGGGGTCGTGGACGGGCGTGCAATGGGGGAGGGGGGAGGGGGGGACAGGTGTGAAGGAGAGACGCGCTGGCCGGTGCAGCGGGAAAACTCGGTGGTTGAGTGGCAGGCAGACGTGGCGCGGGGCGACCCGTGGGGAGACGGTGTGGGAGGATGGCGAGCGGGCGATCTCATGTGGGGCGGAGCAGGGGGGTGGCGGGCGATCTCATTTTGGACAGAAGGGGTGTTGGGGTGACTGGCGATCTTATTTGGGTCGAAAAGGGGGGAGCTATTCCATTTTGGGCGGAAGGGTGGAAATGGGGGTAAGGGTGTCGGGCGATTTCATTTGGGGTGGAGCAGGGAGGTGGCGGGCGATCTTATTTTGGGCGGAAGGGGTGCGGGGGTGACTGGCGATCTTATTAGGGTCGAAAGGGGGGGGAGCAATTCTATTTTGGGCGGAAGGGGTGTGGGGGTGACTGGCTATCTCATTTGGGTCGAAAAGGGGGAGCTATTCCATTTTGGGCGGAAGGTTGGAAATGGGGGTAAGGATGTCTGGCGATTTCATTTTGAGCGGAAGACATAGGCGTAGCTACCGATTCTGGGGCGAACTATTGATCTTGCGTCGTCGTCGTTGTTCCCTGCCCCCCCCCCCACTCCCCTATTTATATATGTTGGTTCGCGATGCCGAAAACGCTCCCAGCACACTTTGGAAAAGTTGGGGCGGCTTTACTTGTCGTTATCCCTAAACAGTTTATACCACGATGTAGAAAACTGCGACATCAGTCAGGAAAGTAAGCCCTTGTCTGTTACAGGGGCGTAGCGAGGGGGGGGGGGGGTACATATGTCCCCGGGCGCCTGAACTGAAAAAAAAGCTGATTATAATTAATATAGAAATGGGGGTGGGGAGGGGTGACACCAAAACGAAAATATGAGTCAATATGACAATTTCAATAGTTACCACATAGGATGACATCCGACATAACGACATCACTATACATGTCACACTTGGGTCTTCAGATGACATTATATCATATTATTTAAGCGGGGGGGGGGGGGTGTAGGCTTGGAGGAGGGGGGGGGGGAGGGGGTGCCATCAATGTTAACACCTGTCAATGCATATCCTAACTACGCCTCTGCACACGAAAGCCGAGTCTATAAAAAAAACCTACAATTTATTTCCTGGCCAAAACCGTGTTGGCCAAATTTCGAATTACATAATGATAAAATTTGGACCAAATAAAAAATAAAATTGGCAGGTTTTTAAAAAAATATATATATACCAGCTCTATAAACATAAACCCCCTCCCCCAATCCTTCGTTCCAAAAACGTTTATGCATGACTGAATACACCTTAATTCAAGTCTTAAGTTCGACAGTCTCGACCAATTAGAATCTTCCAAGGGCGGGGCTAAGATAATTCGGGAGGGACCACCGCTAGTGAATTCAAATCTTCGCTGTCAACACAACCTAAAGTGGTGTGCAAAAAAAAAATGTCATTCAACCACAAGTTGTCTGTCCTTTTTAGTAATAGACACATCGTTAAGAGTAAACATTCAAGGCCTGCTGAATGGTTGACCTTAACAAACTGATTGTGTATGTTAGGGAAGTTTCTATAAGTAAAGTAACATTTAAGTCCAGCGGTTGCATACGGCAGAGGAAGGAGAGTTCATCTATTTTGTGACCTAACATCATTAAAAGATAAGTGTAGTCATCAGTATCGCCAACTGTTTTCACTTTCGCTAATTTTGTGCCAGGTACCCATAAGAACCGAGAAGACTCAAGGACAATTCACATATTCCAGAAATTATTTATTAGAGCTGAGTGAACTCAGCGACTGCCTTCTGATTTTAAACCAGGTACCCATTAGAGCTGAGTGGGCTCAGCTAACACTTACAGAGTCCAGCCAGGTATTTATTAGAGCTGAGTAGACTCAGCGACCACATACTGATTTAAGTCAGGTACTTATTTAAGCTGAGTGGACTATGCGACCACTTAATGATTCGAGCCAGGTACCCATTAGAGCTGAGTGGACTCCGCGAGCACTTACAGATTCGAACCAACCAAGTGACCACTCGTAGCTGTGCAGCTGAAGACCGTTAATTAATTAAAAAAAAGGGATTAGTTAATCCCAGACAGCTATTGGCTACCTGCGGCTCTTAACAGAACATAACGTGGCCCACACCTGGGTTACGGTACAAAATGTGTGTTCAGAATTGTTTGGCGGGCGGTAATGACCATCCATCTTAATTAAGGCAGTGGAACACATTTCAATAGCACATCAATTAACCCCAACACCAAAACACTTGACATTGTCCGTGTCATTTCCCACGCACATCATTCTGTCTAGCTCAGTGGAGAGTATGCAACTTTATTTATAGATATAAAGTTGCACTCCCCGCTCCCGGAAATTTTAAGGTACCCCCCCCCCCCCCCACCAGTGTTTCTTCCAGACTTTCTTCTCCGGGGAACGGGGGGCCATTGAAATTTTCGGGGGGGGGGGGGGGGGGGAAGGTAGACTTTCTTCGGGGGGGGGAGGGGGGGGGACACCGTTAAAAGTATATATTTTCTATATAAATTTCATTTCTTTCTGGGGGGGGGGGGCGGACGGGGGACGGTAGACTTTCTTCGAAGAGTGCCCCCCACACCCCGTAAAAACATGTCTGAAAGAAACCCTAGTTTTAAATTATGTGCACGGTGTATACTATATATAAATCAACATGTGATATATTTATATGCTGTAACTTAATCGGTCTGATGTTAAATATGGTTGATATGCTCTACCGCAATATGCGGTATATGCTGCGAAATCGTTATGCGGTACACGCGATCTTGCGATATTATTTTTCTGTGATACGGCTGTTAACGCCATCACATAGTTTTACACCCAATACACACAGCAACATTTTATGGTAGACCATCCCGATGTCACTTGTGATATACATTTTTTTTTTAATTTTGCTGTTCTACCTTGACCTAGGAGTTCGATATTTTAAAATAGGTCATCTTTGTATCGACAGAATGAGTGGTTCTTAATCAGTAGCTGAGGGACCCTTTGTTACGCACACAAGTCTTGTGTAAAAAGACTAGACTATGCACCGTAGGGCCTCTGGGAACTTGAAATTCGTTATTAATTTTATTTGTGATCTTTTCGAGATAAGCCCCGCCAAAATGTTGACACCCGCCACCCAAAAATATTCAAACAAAGTGGATTTGAAGCTTATACTTTAAGATTTTAACCCACGGCGAATCCTAATCCTAACACTAACCCCAACCCCAACCCAGACCCCATCCTTAACCGTAACCCAAACCCTAACCCCAACTCAAACCCTAACCCTAACCCAAACCCTAACCCATAAGAAATTGTTTTATTGGCGTGCGTTTAAATATTCAACTGTCTAGCCACAAAAATAGTTCAAGGTTTCGTGCAGTTCCTTCCAGGATTCTCTTCGGGGAAGGGGGGGGGGGGTGGTTGCGGAAAAACTCTACACCCCCCCCCCCCTGGAGAAAAATGTCTGGAAAAACACTGGTTGCGTGGGTGAATGAGATTGAAACTGGCAAAAAGTGGCGGGGCTTAACTTTTCCTTCTTGCACTTTTTGGCATCAGTGGCGGGGCTTATTTGGAAAAGATCCCTATTTTTTAGCGCAATTTCCATACTGGAATTGCGATTATTAATTCGTCATTTCTGGATGTGTGTCCGCAGCTTTACCGCAGCTTTAAGTCGTATCTCCTCCTCAACGAAGCAATATCGAGGACTAGTTCCAAAAGCAAATATGTTAAGCAAGTTCCGAGGATGATTGTGGGCCAAAAAAATTCCCGGAATTCCTTCGTGAATTTCCCGGAAAAGCCAAAAAACCTCGAATTTCTGGATGTATGGATGTGTGTCCGCAGCTTTACCGCAGCTTTAAGTCGTATCTCCTCTTCAACGAAGCAATATCGAGGACTAGTTCCAAAAGCAAATATGTTAAGCAAGTTCCGAGGATGATTGTGGGCCAAAAAAATTCCCGGAATTCTGTCACAGGCCTTTTCTCCTACATATTTCATGGCACACACTCAAAACAAAAATCAACCCTTGTTCCTGTAATTTCCATAATTTTATTGGTTCATAAGAGCTTCGCCTCCAGTTTCAGACATCGCCATGTTGTTCGCGCGCTATCCACCTCTCGCTTCCTTTCCTTTCGCGCACGCGCACGCCCACACTATATTTTATATTTTTATCTCGCCTTTTTAAGACACACACTCGCAACATACATTCATATACATTTAACTGTTATAAATTCCTTCCTGGATTTCCCGGAAAAGCCAAAAAACCTCGAAAAAATGCAGTTTTTGGCCCATATCTCGGCAACCAGACCACTTAGCGACTTGAAACATTTACCAATCGATTTCTGCCATAATTGAGAACAATATTGCCGAAGAAAGTTTTCAAAAATATCCTTTCGTTCGGTCACAAAATTAAAAAAAAAATTACATTATACATAATACACTACAGTACTATATAGCAATATAGAGAGCGCGACAACTAAATACCCCCTACACGTCCGCAAATTTTTTAAAATCTCCTTAATAAATATTTTTTCTATTTTGTTTTGAATTATTAAAACTACTTGTGTTGCATTATTTATTTGCTGAATATATGATTTATCTCGATTTAAAATTGTTATGGATAACATAAGGAAATTGCGCTTAAATTGTCACTAGACTTTTTATTAACTTGTTTTTTAAATAGATACATTTTT